TTCATGAGTTCTGCTCCTCCTTTATATCTTCTCATTTTTTCTTTGTTAGTGCAGTGACCCCAATCTACTCTTTGGAAGACTCAAGCACCTCCAATCTTCATCGTTTCACTTATATCTCATTTATGGATAAACCCTATGTCCTCTTTAATCAGAACTTGGTTTCTAATAGTCAAAGCCAAGACTTTCTTCAAGAACTTTCAGAAATCTACTATTTCATGTTTTTTTTTTTTAAATCCAACACCACAGGCATATGTTGGTTGTCTATTTTCCCTACCCAACATTACCCTGATTTTCATTCAGCAGATAGCACTCTTTTCCCATGTAACTCATAAACTAACTATACCTGTAGCTCTGGGAGTAGGCCTTTCTGTTTTCCTGGCAATAGCCCTTGTTTTAAGTGGGCATGAGACCCAAGAAAGTCTGGATTCTTGTTTGGAATGTGAAGTCAGAAATATTGGCTCTTTAAAGATAGTATAGACAATATTACAAATATTTTCCTATTTACAGGCAGACCAGGAGATTTGGCAGTCTTTTTGAAACCAGTTTGAGGAAAATGACTCATGGAAAAGAAAGATTGGGAAATAATCCCAAGTTTTAGTAAAGCCATACTGGAAATACATTTGCTGTCTAGACTTTTCAGTTTATAAGAATCAAATGTCTTCTATTTTTCAAAAAGCTCATCTGTTAACTGCAACCAGAACTCAATTGAATCCTTTGTTCTTTTTTGAGATTCTTTTAGTCCTTTCGAGGCAAGTGACTGGCTCCAAGAGGCAATGAAGCCCTCCAAAAGAAAGATCAAAGAAATGTGGAAGAAAAAAACCCTTAAAACATTTTTCAGGATAAAGCTAACCTTCATACAGCAAAGTATGCCCTTGTATAAACACAAAACGATGGGAAGATACAGGAGACACCAAAAAGAGGTTTCTTTGGGAAGGGAAATTGGGGACTGGAATGACAGATTTACTTTTACTCTCTTTCAGTAACATTTGAATATTTTAAAAATCATGTGCAGGTATTTTTTTAAATGGAAAATAAAAATAAAATGACTAAAGATATCTCAAAAAGCAGATTTTTTTTTTTCCCTGAGGGACTTACTAATGTAGTAAGTATAATAGCACTGTAAAATCTTTTCAAATTATTTTGGTGATGGAAAATTTGTTGTTGAAAGTCCTGCTGTGCAACAAACGTCTTTACTTGTCATCTTTCCCTTTTGTCTTTCTGTACACCATCTCTCGGAAACTGGCTAGAATCTTATTCTCTCTCTTTCTTCTCTCTTCTTGGTTAAAGGATGCAAGAGCTCTCTTTTCATCAGCACTGTAAATTTGATTCTCTTTACGCAGTCTTACAGCCTCCATTCTGCGATGTCTGCTACCACTCATGACATAACCTGAGCATTCAAATGAGGCAATCTCTTCACTTGTCAACCCAATTTCACCTCTTCGTGGGATACGCTTTCCAGCTTTTACATACTCAGCCATAGCTGCACCTTCACCTGGGAGCAGAGCATGACCATAGTTCAAAGGTTTCTCATCTTGAGTGGTATGTATTATAGGTGCTTCTGGGCCTATTAAATCCCTTGTATCTGCAGTCTTTGACTGTCCCATCCAGATACCTTCTGGAAATTCCCCTTCTGAAGCTTTACAGCTTGTGTCACTGGATTCTTTTTTAGTCTTCTTATTCTTTTTCTTGTATTTTTTCGCTCTGTGTTTCTTTTTCTTGTCTTTCTTCTTAGGTTTTTTGACTTTCTTTTTATCATCATCAGAGCTAGAATCAGTGTCAGAGACTGAATTACTAACATTATCAGAATACTTCCTATGTTTTCTTTTGGAGGACTTCTTTCTTTTTTTCTTTTTTGAACGACTGGTCTTCTTTTTTCTTTTTTCTTCAGAGCTGGAATCTGAATTGGTACTCTTTTGATTCTTCAGCTCCTCTTCAACTGGGGTATGTTCATCAGAATCTGGCTCAGGAAACTTTGGTGACAGCCCCCACACTTCAGGCGCACCCAACTCCCCAATTCTCTCTCTCTCCTTCAGCCTCCTTTGCCGACAGCTCTCTTCCTTTTCCTTCTCATAGTGTTCTGCCCACTGCCAATCGCCCCCATAGTGGTGGTGACGGTGGTGGTAGCGATATCCCCCATAGTAAATTGAAGAGGAGGACGAGAAGTAGTAGCTGTGGAGGCCTGGAGGCTGCTCCCAAGACCCAGCGCGGCTAAGGGGATAAGAAGGGCCAACGCTCACCCCAACCCAGGGAGGCTTGAGGCCCTCCGGTCCTCGGGAGTGAGGGCGGGAACTGCCACTCCAAGGGGAGTGCCTGTTCCGCGCAGACGGTGGGCTCCCAGAAGAGCTGTGTCGTGGCCTCTGAGAACCTGGGGCGTCCTCGCAATAGCTGGACCGAGATACTGGAGCCATGAGCAGCACTCCAAATGGCCAACGCAGGACAGTTATTGCAGACACCTAGGCCTCGACACTTCCTGTCTACGCAGGGGCAAGCACTAGGAATGGCTCCTGGGCTCCCCGCGCTCGGCTTCTGCTTCCGTCGGGTTGCCAGGCGAACGCCGAGTCACCGCCTGGACGGTGAGGTGCCCGTATCAGGGGAGGCTGTATGGGTCTTCCTTTGGGGAGTGGGTGCCTATTTTTTTTAAATTTACTTTCTACAACCTGGGCCCCCGTGAGAAATAAACGAATTAGTTCCTCTCTTGTTGAATCACAGCCTTCCCAAATTTTCCCCCGTTGACTCTCCTCATCTGGGGTCATTTCTTAAGAAACTTAGTTCGGAACCACTTTCTGAAGATATTTTTAGAGCAAACTCTCTGAAATGGCGAATATTTCACATAAAACCATTTCTCCCTGGTCTTAAAATGTACGTAGGCATTTCTCTCACCAGAGTTCTCTCTAGTTAAGTTGATCCGTTTCAGTTAGCTCATAGACTTTGAAAGTGAAAGATGAGCTAAACCACAATTTAGGAATGATGCTTTCATGATGCTAGGATTGTAAACAATGAAGTGAGGAAATTAAATTGAATAGAACCAAAATATATAATTTGATCTAAGAAGTTTAGTAATGTGATTGAAAAGGACATGGATTAGCACCATACCGTAGACCATTCTAATATAGGAATTGGCAAGCTGGGAGTAATATAAATGAATGATCACACGTATATGGAAAATATCGCAATGAATAAGGTAAGCACTACAGATTCTCTGTAAATAAAGAAAAAATTTGTTTCGAGGACTTCATAGTTCAATGAAATGGATCTGAAATGTTACTTCAGTTTACTGAAATTAAGCCATGCAGTATTTGATGGGAAATTCAAATATTAACAAACCAATAGCACGTGGGAAAATGAATTTTAGAATATATCCGTTTGTATAGGAAACCTATAACCTACAACAGATGTGGCATATATTTTCTGTAAAAGACCAATATAGTTTAGGCTTTGTGGGCCAAGAGGCAATGTGGAGGATATTATATAAATACCTAGTTTTTGTGTTTTGTTCATTGTTTTGTTTGTACTGCTGGGGATGAAACCCCAAATCTCATGAATTCCAGGAAAGCGCTCTACCATGGAGCTATGATATACTGATAGCAAGAGAAAATACAAATTTTCACACATTTTTAAGATAGGTGAAATATAATTTTTTTAATTCAGAATGCAATTAAAATACAGGTTTTTTTTTTTTTTTTTTTTTTTGTAATACAGTTTTTCTAACAGGAAGGATGAATTTTATTTTTTTTTTGGTACCAAGGATTGAACTCAGGGGCATTCAACCACTGAGCCACATCCCCAGCCCTATTTTGTATTCTATTTAGAGACAGGGTCTCACTGAGTTGCTTAGCGCTTCACTGTTGCACTGTTCACTGTTGCTGGCTTTGAACTTACAATCCTCTGTCTCAGTCTCCCAAACTGCTGGGATTACAGGCAAGCACCACTATGCCCAGCATGAAATTCTTTTTTATACAAATAACATTTTGTTTGATTTTTACTCTTGGACAGCAAAAGCAGCCATAGACATGTAAATAAATGGACCTAACTCTGTTCCAATAAAATTTTATTTATGGAAACTGAATTTTATGTGGTTTCGTATGACACTAAGTCAGGGGTGAGTAAACTACTGTATACAGATAAAAAATGACCCATTCCTCACTCAGGTCATACAAAAGCAGGCAATGAGTCAACTTTGGTTTGTAGACAGTAGTTTACTCACCTCTGACTTGGCCAAAAAAACATTAGTGCAAAAGGTGTGCTTGGGAATAAGAATAAACACATATCATGCATTTTGGAGGTGAGAGGATTTTATTTTTTTGTGTTTTATTTATAGATAACAAATACTCACTAACAGAACACAAATATATTTGAAGAACTTTAAGAATTAGGTACAAGTTTTGGAAAACAATACTTTACAATTATTAAGAAAAGCACCAGATTTTGAAAGTTCAGCTAAAATGAAATTGTTTTTACATGTAACATTTTACTATCGTTCTCGAAATTTCTCAGAATTGTTGCTACAGCAACAAAAAGCTGACTCACATACATACCGAGAAGTTAAATTTAAGTTATCAATATCACCTAGCTGATGAGTGATAAAGTCAGGATTACTCAGTTGACCTGCTTTGAGAGCCTGTATATCTACCCACTGTGCTAGACCATGAATAGGGTCTGGAAAGAAACAGGAAGGAAGAAAGCAGGAGGAAAATATGTACCTAAAGCAAGGGACTAGAGAGTTTCTGGAAGCAGAGAGCAGCATAAGCCTGGTTACATGCCATGGAAACTGAAATTGGTAACCTGGAGAACAGGCTATGGAAAACAAACAGGTTACCACCTGGTGCTGGGGGAGGAAGTTTCTGGTTACTTTTTCTGGAGTTATCTCAGTGGCTACATTGGCAGTTCACTGCCTAGAATGTGGTAAGGATTTGTGAGGGGATGAGGTCAGGGTGGGAGAGCTTTCCTTCAATTTACTGTTTTTGCCTCAAAGGGAGGAAGGTGGCAGACTGGGGGAGGTGTTGGGGGAGCAAGGACCTGAGGCAGTCATTACTCTGAAACAAGTGCCTGGTGATGTGTTCTGCCTCTCTGATGTTTCTAAGGAACAAAAACTCCTACCAGAGTTCTGAAGACTCTAGGAAACACTGCTTTCTAGCTGTATTTTAGTGTCAATTTTATGCCAGGTTTTTAGGCAAGTTTTACATCAGAAAGAATTGAGGACCCCAGCAGCAACCTTTAGATTTTGAAGATTCTTGTCCTATTTCTTATGATTCACGGTATGCCGTTCTTTCCTTAACAAACCTCCCTTAAGTGAGGGTAAAGACAGGATCCCTAACGGGTTAATTCGGAGACAACCACAGAGAGGAATTTCCTAGAGAGCCCAGGAAGTGGCTTTGATTCCCCGCGAGGCTTCCTAGACCCCAGCCTCAACTTCTCTCGTGTGTCTGGACAGTGTTCACTTTCACCCCAAGGACATCCTTTGAGAATATTTATTGTGGGATTAGAGTGGGGTGTAGAGGAGTATGCTGCACAAGGCACGAACTACTGGAGAGATCTGTGCAGTTGCGTCTCAGGAAAGATCTGGGCCCCTGGTATGAGAGGAGGGAACCATTTCCAGTTTTACTGGCAAATAGTTCCCATCTTTCATGAATTCTCCGAAGATATTCAACGGGAGCTAGAGTGTGATTCAAGTACTGCTTTTGCTTGGGATGGCTAGAGAACGGAGAGAAAAAACTGCCCTGGAAGCCCACTCTGCAGAAGAGAAGATGGGGATTCTGACTGTGAAGGTGGAGAAGGAGGAATTCGCCTCGGTTACTGAGGAGAGCGCACCCGGTAGCCTCGCCTGGGGCAAGGAATGTTCGCGCCAGCGCTTTCGTGCTTTCTGTTATCCGGAAGCCTCAGGCCCCAGAGAGGCGCTGAGCCGGCTCCGGGAGCTCTGCCGACAGTGGCTGAGGCCTGAGATGTATAGCAAGGAACAGATTCTGGAGCTGTTGGTACTGGAGCAGTTCCTGACCATCCTACCTGGGGACCTGCAGAACTGGGTGCGGGAGCAGCATCCAGAGAGCGGGGAGGAGGTGGTGGTACTGTTGGAGTATTTGGAGAAGCATCTGGATGAACCCACACCTCAGGTAGAAAGAAAAGGTTTAGTATCTGAGAGCTGTGGTCTGTGCCTTCCTGAAGATCAGAGCGAGGGGTATTTCTTTAAGATCACTTTTTGTATTGTGAACCTCCTTATCGGTATTCTGGACCCTTTCTCAGAGTATTTAAATACATAAAGAAAAATATAAAGGATTACAAAAGAACTCAATCATATTGATACACAGTTAGCAAATGATTAAACGTCCAGTAAAGATATATATGTGTTTTTTAAACTTAAATGTGCTAAATACTAAGACCTATTTTGATGACAAAGTCTTAGTACTGCTTATGTCGCATTAGCTTGTTTAAATGTTACATTTTTCTTAGAGACTAGTAAAAAAAAAGACCATTTTTTTTTCCTATACAAGTTCACAGACCACTGGGTTTGAACTTGTTAAAAAATGGATGAACTTTTACCTCCATCTTCTCATCTGTTTTACAATGTTTCCTCTTTATCTTTTCCAGTGTTCTTGTGCAAGTTCTCTCAGAGCCTTCAGTTATCAGGAAACCAAGTTTCTTTACTTGGATCGATTCCACTGAGCTCTGTAACAGTGAAAAATCATCTGGAGTCTCTTACATTCTTTATAAAGAATGTGGGAAATTCTGAGCGCACATGAGAAAGAAACTTGAAAACTAACTGATGTCTGGAAGAAAATCTGCATTTAACAAGGACATACCGTGTGCCAAACTCTGTTGAGTGGTTTGGCCTACTATAATCTTATTTAATCTTATTTACTAGTCTCCTAAGCCCCATAAACTAGATACTATTATCCAGATTTTTTCAGGTAAGAAGAAATATTAATATTCTTTGAGAATTTAGCACCAGATTCCAAACAGTTTCATAAAAGCACAATTGCATATAATGGGAGAGCACAGAGTAATGGTTAAGATTATGGGCTCTTGAATTGTTCTGCCTGAGCTCCTATATTAGCATTGCTGTTTATAAATTGGGTGTCTTAGGTGAGCTACCTAAACTGGACCTCAATTTTGTAGTCACAAAGTTCTAGCTCTTAGGGTTGTCTGAATTAAGTGGATTAATCTTCATAAAGGTCTTAGTGCCTAGAAAGTAGAAATAACATGTAGAAGGCATGATAGAAATGCTTGATGAATGACTTTCAGCCTCCCGGTGGCCACCAGGGGCAAGAACTGCTCTGTTGCAAGGTGGCATTGTTGACACCAGTTCAAGAATCACAAAATAGCCAATTCCAACCAATGAAGGCTCTGCTCAAGCATGAATCTCCTGCATCCCAGCACTTACAAGACAGAGGTGAGTATTATTTTCTGGGCTGGATTGTATGAATCTACTTTTTTTTTTTACTTTGTAGTGCTAGGTGCATGCTAGGCAAATACTCACTACAGACCTACATTCCTAGCCTTGGGCTGTATGAATTCTAAAGACTTGATTCAGTTCCTTATACCCACTGACAGTTACTCTTTTTTTTGGTATTGGGGATTGAACCCAGGGGTGCTTTACCACTGAGCTACATCCCCAGTCCATTTTACTTTTTATTTTATTTTATTTTGGGAATAAAATAAAATAAAATATCAGGGATTGAACTCATGGGCACTCGACCACTGAACTGCAAACCCAGCCCTATTTTGTATTTAATTTAGAGACAGGGTCTCACTGAATTGCTTAGTACATTGCTTTTGCTGAGGCTGGCTTTTAACTCATGATCCTCCTGCCTCAGACTCCCAAGCTGCTGGGATTATAGGTGTGAGCCACCAAGCCTAGTCCTTTTTATTTTTTGAGGTAGGGTCACAGTTGCTGAGGGTCTCCTTAAATTGTTGAGGCTGGCCACAAACTTATGATCTTCCTGCCTCATTGTCCTGAGTTACTGTAACTACAGGTGTGTGCCACCATGACTGACTGTTGATGTTTACTTTATATGCTGATTACTGATCAACTAAAACAGGAATTTGAAACAATAGTAGAAAGTTTTCCTAACCAAACCTAGACATATTAAATAAGACATATTAAATAAGACATATTAAATATGTCTTATTAAATATGACATATTAAATATAAGACATATTAAATAAGACATATTAAATAAGACATATTAAATATTAAACTTGGCACCAGGAAAGAATTTATTTTTTAATAACTTAGTGATCTCCTTTCATTTAACATATATTTATGGAGACCTTTTTTATAATAGTCACTGTTGTTAGCACTGGGAATAGAGTCATCAGTGAGACCAAATTTTTGCTCTGGTGGAGCTCATATTCTAGTAGGGAAGATAAAAATGAATCAATAATATAATTTAAGATATTCACAAGTGCTATGAAGAAAATAAGGTAGAATTTGTAAAGCCAACTGAATTTGTAAAGCCAGAAATGGTAGGACTGTTGCAAATTAAAGAGAATACATCTTCTAAATATAAGATTTGTAATGAAAACAGGGTGAAAATCATTTATCAGGAAGCAACTTTGTGTTCTAGGGGGTTCATTCAGGCAGGTTTCCAGAATGTACAATACTTAGACTTACCATTCAACATGTAGTCTTTATTTCTCAACAGAAGTCTTGGCCTAAACCAACTCCTTTTCTGAATCTTGCAGTGTTCATTTCTTATAGGGAAAGTGAGGTTCCTCTCTACTTCTCTGTCTTCTTTATGGGATCAGCCTTATTTTTCTCAGTTTTTCAGACCCTAAGAGGAAAGTACTCTAATACACACTAAAGACAGTTTAACCAAAACAAAAAACAAAAACAAACAAAACCCCTTTTCTCTTCCCATCAACACTCAAGATCAAAAAGTCTAAAAATGAAAAGCTTTGTTTTGGTTTTATATTGTATTCACTTTACCATTCCTCCCAAGAATTCTGCCCATGTTTTTTGTGTGTCTGCAGGAGCATACCAGAACTCCTTAGGCCTTTGCACTTTGGAAAGGAACACACTGTATAAACTTCTCAGCAACAATTTCCTAACCCAGTTTTTTTTTTTTTTAATTTTGGGGTACTAGGGATTGAACTCAGGGGCGCTCGACCATTGAGCCATAGCCCTAGCCCTATTTTGTAATTTTTTAAAATATATTTTAGTTGACAGTCCTTTATTTATTTTTATGTGGTGCTGAGAATTGAACCCAGTGACTCACACATGCTGGGCAAGTGTGCTTCCACTGAGCCACAGCCTCAGCCCCCCAATTTTGTATTTGAGACGGGATCTCACTGAGTTGCTTAGCACCTCACTTTTGCTGAGGCTGGCTTTTAACTGACTGTTGATGATCCTCTTACCTCAGCCTCTCGAGCCCCTGAGATTATAGACATGCACCACCCTGCCCTGTTCTAACCCAGTTTTTGATCTTAGATTCCATAAGGCAAGGAGGCTAAACACCAGGGTATGTCTTATCCAGAGTTTCTTTCTTTCTTAGTTCTCCAGGTTCCTGGACTTTCTCAGGGAATCATTTGCAGAGAAGATACCCCAGTAGCTGCCAGATCCACTCCACAGTCCCAGGTGAGTTAAAAGCCCTCCTCTTTCTGATACTCTACACACTTTACTATTGGTAGGCTTCCTATTAGGTTCCTCTTTCCCCAGTTCTACCCTACCCCATTCTAAATCCACATAGGATTTGAGTTTTCTCATCTCATCATTGGTTAATATTTGGTGCCCACTTAAGAGGCTTTTCCTGTTTTCTTACAGGAAAGGGTTCTCTGTGCTTCCCTTTTCTTTGGTTAGCCCCTTCATCAGTGGGATTTTTTTTCTTCAACAACTAAATATTTCATTGTGATGGTGGTTTGTTTTGTGGGGTGTTTTGTTTGGGCAGTGAGGAGGATTAAATCAAGGGCCTTACACATACTAGGCAAGTGCTCTACCACTGAACTACATTCCCAACTTTGTTTTTTTGCTTGTTTATTTATTTATTTATTTTTGTGGTGCTGGGGATTGAACCCGGGGCTTTGTGTGTGTGTGAGGCAAGCACTTTATGAACTGAACTATATCCCTAGCCCTATTTTTAACGTGGTACTGGGGATTGATCCCAGGGTGCTCTACCACACCTATAATCCCCAGCCCTTTTTATTTTTTGAGACAGGGTCTCATCAAGTTGCTGAAGCTGGCCCTGAACTTATGATCCTCTTGCCTCAGCTTCCCCTAAGTAGCTGAGATTACAGAGTGTGTCACCACTCCCAAAAGGAAGATTTACTAAACCTAGATTTTCATTTCTCAGTCTTTAATGTCCTGCTTGAAGTACTCAGTGTTTGCAGAGTTTTTGTATTTTTTTCTTACCTCAGATCTAGATTTCATTGTATTTTAAAAACCATTAATGTAAATAAGCCCTTACCTGCTCCTTTACCAAAGCATACCACACATCTTTTGGAGAGTTTGGATATGGTTCTACTCCTTTTGTTTTGCCCCTTGTTTTCCAAACCTTTTCACTTTCTGAACTGTTTAGATATTTATATGAAAGTACTTACATCAAATGTAATTGTTTCTTGCCTTTGACAGTTCTTTTAAATAAAGATTTTATTGAGATAGGGTTAGGTAGGCCCTTTTTAAAGAGCTCCTTTAAAGAATTATGTCTGTTCTTTGCAAGTATCCTGCTTTGGGAGTGATTATAGGCAAGAAGTACTAAGTGGGATTATTTATTGTTTTAGAGGATGCTGAAAATGGAAAACGTGGCCCTGACCTTCTCTCCTGGTTGGACACAGCTGAATTCATCCCAAATGAACCTCTACAGAGATGAAAGGCAGGAAAACTGTGGACACCTGGTTTCCCTGGGTAAGATTAATAGTCCCTAATTTTTACTAAGGTATCTTTTTTTCTTTAATTTGTGTATTAGAACCTAACGGATTGTTAGAACATGTTTGGAGTATGTTTGGTTTCAGAACCACCATTTCTGAACCCCTGTTGATGGTCAGATGTATAATTAACTCCTAAACCTCTGTTCCTTGCTTTCTTCTCTATCATGTCAGTATTCTGGTCAGTTTAAATGAGAGGAAGTAGATACAAACCTTGGTACAGTTGTGGCTCAAGTAGGTAGGTGCTCAGTAAATGTTGATTTCCTTTGAATTTCTAGCCCTGACAAAAGAGAAAACCTGAAGGGCCTCTTCAAGAAACAGACCATTGAGTCAAACAGTGTGAAAGTTAGTAGTAACCTCAGACATTGACTACAGACTACACCCTCTTAGAGGTGAGAGTGAAGAAGCACAGAGGGTTATCCGACTTGTCAGAGGTCACACAGCTCATTGATGGCACAGTAGGTGCTCTGACTCAGAACTCCCAGCACCAATGTCTATTCTGTTTGGGGATCCTACTTCTGCCCGAAATAAGAGCAGAAATAACAACTTGTATCATTGATCAGTGATCAGTTTCTAAGTTTCTACTTTTGCTGTTTGTTACAGAATGTTTCAGAAATCCTTTTGCTTGGTCTGTTTACGATTGCCTTCTGCTCAGACCTATCGGTATCTAATCCTGGGTCTATGACTCTGCCTTACTATTCTTTCAAGCCTCCACTCCATAAGTGCTCAATATAGTACTTTGTTTTTGATACTCTTCTTCCACTTCTTTCATTTCCAGTTGTCCCCTTCTTTCAATGGCCCCATTTCCATTCTCAGGTCTCTTTCCTCTCCAGCATTCCTTTTCCTCCATTATTCCTACCCTTATTTTTGAACTTAAATTCTCATCCTTGGCAAGCATATAACTCTGTAATTCTTGCCTCATCACTTTTCATCACAGAGCTTTGCTCCTATAATTAACAGTTGTTGGCTTGTTGTTTCAGGTGGTAAAATACAGGCTACAATTCAGGATTTGCCTCCAGCAAAGGAACATCTAGAAAAGCCTGGGCAGAAATTGTACCATCTTGGTGAGGACATTGCACAGATCTCTGCAGGTACAGAAGCTGGTGAACAGGATGAGGGTGGGTTGCAAAGAAAGCAGAAAAATGCCACAGGGAGTAGGCGACACATTTGCCATGAATGTGGAAAGAGTTTTGCTCAGAGTTCAGGCCTGACCAAGCACAGGAGAATCCACACTGGAGAGAAACCCTATGAGTGTGAAGACTGTGGGAAGACCTTCATTGGGAGCTCTGCCCTTGTCATTCATCAGAGAGTTCACACTGGTGAGAAGCCATATGAGTGTGAAGACTGTGGCAAGGTCTTCAGTCACAGTTCAAACCTTATCAAACATCAGAGAACTCACACTGGGGAGAAGCCCTATGAATGCAATGACTGTGGGAAAACCTTCAGCCAGAGCTGCAGCCTCCTTGAACATCACAAAATTCACACTGGGGAGAAGCCATACCAATGTAAGATGTGTGGCAAAGCCTTTAGGCGTAATTCACATCTTCTGAGACATCAGAGGATCCATGCTGATAAAAATCAGGAGCCTGAGCATGGAGAGGCCTGGGAAGGTCACAGTAGGATGGAAAGCCAGTGGGAAAATGTTGGAACTCCTGTGTCTTATAAATGTAATGAGTGTGAAAGAAGTTTTACTCAGAATAGAAGCCTTATTGAACATCAAAAAATCCATACTGGTGAGAAACCCTATCAGTGTGATGCATGTGGAAAAGGCTTCACCCGAACTTCATACCTTGTTCAACATCAGAGGAGCCATGTAGGGAAAAAAATTCTGTCTCACTGACTATACATGCCAAAGTTGGGGCTTATTTGTAATTCAACTGAAGCTAGCCTGGAGCACTACAGAAATTGTAGGCCAGGGCTTTATTTACCAGTGCATCATCATGTGTTAGGAAACAATCTGAGATGAATTATCTTCCACATTATAGAAATTGGTTGGAACCAAACTTTTTTGAGGAATGTTGTCTGGAAAATGTAGACTTAAAGTGTTTTATTCTTACCTATTGGACTTAAATGGCCTTTCAGAATAGCTAAATGCCACAGCAGTATTTTTGTTTTCTCCTGGATGGATAATTCTTAATCTGGGGGGCTGCTGCTCTTACCATTCATTTTCCAATAATGAATCCTTCATGAGTAGGTCAGGTTCATGAGATCTTTTACCCCTCATTGTGCCTTGCATATAGGTGCTAATAAATATTGACTGGATGTATCTGTGAAATGATCTGCATAGCTCTGGAAATCTGTGTCTAGATTTCTGAGAGATTTGTAACTAATGCCATTTGTGTTTTGTCTGATTCTCAGATTCTAGATTCTGGGTCAATACTATGTATTTGTGCCAAGTATATAGTATTGCCAGATTTGGGGTGGGGGAATCCATATTTCTTCATGAGGATAGTACTAATGGTAAGAATGCTTTAAACAACTTCTTAATGATTAAGATATTGGGAGATGGCTTCATCCATAGAATTGTATTATTGCAATCAGGTTTGCTACTCTTTTGCATTCAGGTAAATAAAAATTAATTTATTAAGTCAGGTAAAATGATTATGAATTTTGATGTAAATTCTCTAATGTTCAACATCTTCTTTGTCACCTTTTACATATCTTGGGCCTAACCAAGTTATAAGATACCCTGTATATTCTTCTCCCCCTACTTAAAGTCAACTGCACAAAGGCTTATGACAGCTAAGCTTAAACTTCCTCCAGGTCAGAGCAATCTCATTAAATATTTATAATTATTATTTGTGGCTTTAAAACTTCCCTGTGGGATGGGAATAGGAAAATTGGATTAGTGGCAGGTTATATGAATAGAAACCCAACTGTAGGTAGAAGCACATTGAGAATCTTGAGCTTCTAAAGAAAAGAACTCTACAATATCCAAAGAATCAACATATGAAATCAAGACTCAAAGCTGTGAGTTAAACATGAGAAACAAGACTTTTGTGATATCCCTTATTTTCCACCCAAATCACCTCTGTTCTTCAAAGACTGATATCATCTTCTTAGGTGCTTAAGTATATCACTAGCCTCCAGCCTTGCCAGACTATGTCATAAGTGGATTCTGCTTCTGATAACTGCCTGACCATGTTTTATTCACCCAACAGCATAGTGTTCATGTCTGTTCTCAAGTGCCATTTCTGGATTCCTGCTCTGAAGTACTGCAGGCTGATTAGGTACTTTCAAAACAGAAGGGCTCTTCATTTAATAATCCTCTATTTAATCTTTCGTTGCCTTTATTATCCCCCATTTTAGTCCAGTTTAAACTTCTTTAGTTTCCAAATCTGTAGACTTTCTCTAATTAATCTTGTCTAGCTTTTCAAAATTTCATTTTAAATTAACCTTACCAGCTGGCCATTTCCTTTTGTCTTATAATCTTTACCTTTTCTAAATTTTTGCTAATCTTAGAATGACTTTTAACATTCAAATTCATGATGGGCTAGTGTTTTAGTCAGCTTTTTCACTGCTATGATTAAAGGATCTGACCAGACAAATTGTAGAGGAGGAAAAGTTTATTTGGAGGCTCACAGTTTCAGAGATTTCAGTCTATAGACAGTGGGATGCATTCCTTGGGATTGGAGGTGAGGCAGAACATCATGGTGGAAGAGTGTGGCAGAGGGAAGCAGCTCACATGATGATGATGATGATGATAAGAGAGAGAGAGAGAGAGAGAGAGAGAGAGAGAGAGAGAGACTCTACTCTGCAGATATAAAACATATACCCATAGCTATGCCCCCAATGAACCACTTCCTCCAGCCATACCCCACCTGCCTCCAGTTACCACTCAGTTAATCCCATCAGGTATTCACCGATTAGGTCATTTCTCCTCCAAACCTTCTTGTACTGTCACACATGTGAGTTTTGGGAAACACCTCACATCCAAACCATAATAGCCAGCAACTGTATTTTTTTTTTCTTTCTCGTTTGGTACTGGGAATTTAACCCAGGAAAATCTACCACTGACCCATGCCCTCAGTCCCTTTTTAATTTAATTTTGAGACTAGATCTGGCTAAATTGCCCACGTTGGACTCAAACTTGCAATCCTGCCTCAGTCTCCTGAGTATCTGGGCTTACAGGTGAGTGATATCAAGCTCAGTGGTATTTAACTATTTCTGGGAATTACATGAAGAGAGGCATGTTATAGAAACCAGAAAGCAATACAAATATAATTCTGAAATTAATAGAGGACCCCTGGACCTCCTTTCACTCTTCTGGCCCTAAAATCTCTGTAGAGGAGAGGAATGTCATAGAAAAGTATTTTTAGTACCTACTATGCTAGACAGTGGAAGGGATAAAACGTACATACCTATATACTTAGGTTTTTATTATGATAAGTTTGACAAGATTTGTAACAGAGAAGATAGTACACTGAGAAATAATCTTGTGAGTGGTAAGCTGAAGGCTATAGAAGTTCAGAGAAAGGAAATACTACTTGTGGGGTATGACTAATTATTATATGGATAGGATGACATGTTTAGTTGAAAAGATCATGACTTTGTTAAATTCAGTAAATAAGGCAAGTTTGACGAATTAGGTAAGGGAGCCAGAGCAAAGAGTTTAAACTTCATTCAGGAAGTACTAGAAAACCACTGACATTTTATGATCAAGATCTTATCTGGGAAACTATTTGACAGTATTATATAATTTTACAAAGTTGTGAAAGTCTGCTTATACAAATAAGAAGTGTTACCTAAAAATGAAATTATTTTACTTTGGGGCATGCTGGTACACACCTCTCAGTGACTCAGGAGGCTAAGGTGATAGGATCACAAGTTGCCTTAGCAATTTAGCAAGGACCTAAGCAACTTAGTGAGATTTTGTTTCAAAAAGGGCTGGGGGTATACCTCAGTGGTAGAGCATCCCTGTGTTTAATCCCTAGTACTACAAAAAATAAAAAATTAAAAAATAAAATATTTTGCTGATAGTCTTTTAGACACTCTACTTTTGTATAAGATAAATGTGTCTTTATAAATAAGTGAATTATATCTCTGGCCTTTTTTAAATACTGGGGATTAAACCCAGGGGTACTCTACCACAGAGCTACATTCTCAGTCCTTTTTATTTATTTATTTATTTATTTATTTTGATATAGGGTCTTGCTACATTGCCAAGGCTGGCCTCAAAGTTGTGATCCTTTTGCCTCAGCTTCCCCAGTCACTGGAATTATAGGTGTGCACCACCGCACCCACCTTCTCTAGACTATTTAAAGGATGAGCAAAAAGTCATCTTCAAATAAAATTGAAAATTGAGACCTAGTAAACTGCTTAGCTAAAAAAATAAGCAGCTTATAAAGTATAAAACAATAAACTATTCATGCTTTCTTAAGTTGATTTTAGGAATTTTAGCATTGGTTAGCTGGCATTCTATTTCATTTCTCCTGGTCTTGGGATGTAGCTCAGTGGTAGAGTGCTTGATTAGCACACACCAGGGCTTGTGTTCAATCTCCAGCACCATAAAAAACCAAATACACAAATTCCATTTCTCCAACTGAAAGCCAGGTAAAACCCCTCTACTTCTCCCCTCTGCTACTTAGGTAGGATGAATGGTTATAACAAAAATAACTTTTGATGAAGAGTCCACCTAGATTGGTTCTTAATTTTGGCAAAGATGTGTGTAATGCTGCAGAAGACCTTTTCTGCCTCTTCCTTTGATGGGAGAAAGAATAATAGGAGTGACAACTTATTTCACAAAGTTGTAAGGGTCTGCTTATACAAATAAGAAGTGTTACCTAAGTACTCTCAAAATGTTAATAATTGATAGATAACTGTAAATCACCTTGTTAGCTGAAACCTCCATATTTTGGAATCATAAATGTTTAATAATAAAGACTACATTTGAAAAGTATCCTGTAGCTTTTTGGCAGTATCTTATCTTCCAATGATGCCCTACATCTGTATGATACTCTTTCCTCGTTACCCATGATGAGAACTTCAACCACTAAGTAAACTCAGTTTATCTGCTTTTCTCTAAAAACTTTTTTTAGTCCATTTTGTTTTTTTTCTCATGATAGTAAAATTGAGTCTTACAGATTCAAATGAGGAAACTGTTTTTCCATCAGTTTTGTCTAGTATGTATTTTCTACATTTCAAATAATGTTGCTGCTATAGAAAATTTTCAGGATGACCACTTTTCTGTTAACTTTTTTTGGTGAATGTTTCACTTTACCTTACCATATATATATATATATATATATATATATATATATATATATATATATATATATATATATATGGTTTTCTATTTTTATCTACCCCCATTTCTCACTTGGTTTATGGCATTAGCAATCCCTCCCTATTTGCAACATCAATCTAAGACTCTGGAATTTGAAATTGCAAGTTCTCCTTGTTCTCTTTCACAACTAATAATTGAATGTACATTGTGATATATTCTTGTCTGCACTGTGTATTTTTTAAAATTAGGAATTGGGTCATTATCTAAAATCTTCAGAACACCTTTCCAAATCTCTTTTTAAAATTTCAATTTCTTGGGTTCTTCAAGGTTTTCAGGAGTCTGGGAAAACATTCCTAATGTAACTTATTAAATGCAAGCAGTATGCCATATTTTAAATTTTCTCTGAGTGAATTCTTAAACAGATTACACATTGCTTAATTCATCAAATAACAAGTTCTCATGTATTAATTAAAGTGTTAAAACCTTTAACCATTTTTTCCTTCTGTCTCATCAATTCTACCCATCAACATTGGGAGCCTGGGAAATGGAGTTGGTACCTTTCCAGGCCCATTTGTATATAGCACAGGACATAGAACAGCTGGTTTGGGGCTGAGAGATATACAAGATACATGTGAGATATTCAAGAGATATGTGAGATATGTATTAGGCTTACCATTATATTTTCTTCTAGCAGAGTTCTTATTAAATGAGTGAATCTGAAAATTGAGTCAACTCATTCTTTTGTCTTATTATAATAAAACAAGGTCTCTTAGCACCTACTGATGGAATCCAAAGTGCTGGCATTCTTGCTTCCAGTAATACCAGTCTTTTCCTTTTTCTAAATAAGTTTTGTGTCCGCACCATTCATTCAATAAATGTGATGGTTTATGTCATATCTGTGATCAAACACTAAGGAATTAAAGATGAATGAAAAAGAAGATGAACAAGATTTTGGCTTTGCCCTTGAAGTGCCTGAGAACTACCCTCTATTCTTACATGTTAAGTTTTCATTTGTGGTATATTTTCCAAGTTGACTCAGAAACTGATCATTTTTCATTACCTTCCTGCTGCCATCCTGGTCTAGGACACTCTGTCTTTCAAATTTATTAGTATGGTAGCTTGCAAAAAGTTTGCAAGAGTGGACTCTTGCTCCCCTTATTCTCTTCTCAATATGTCAGTGAAGAGCATATTGAGAAAATTTAAAATCTATTTTTAAATCTATGTTGTATCATTCTTTCACTCAAAACCCTACAATGGTTTCCATTTTTTACCAAAATCAACAGCCCAAGTCTTTACAGAGGTGGACAAATCTCTTCAAAATTCTGGCTTCCCATTACCTCTTTCACCTCATCTCCTATCTCTTACCCCCTCTCTCAGGCCTGGCCCAGGCCTCCTTGTTTCTTTTTATTTTCTCTTTCCTCTTCCTTCCTTCCTTCCTTTCTTCTTTTTTCTTTATGTGGTACCATGAATTGAACTCAGGGCCTCACACACATTAGGCAAGCACTCTGCCACTGAATTATATCCCCATTCCTTTTTATTTCAGTTTGAGATTGGGTCTCCCTATGTTGATGAAGTTGGCCTCGAACTTGTGATCTTCCTACCTCAGCCTCTGAAGTAGCTGGACCTTATCACTTTTTGAATACAACAAACATACATATTTTCAAGACCTTTGCTCTAGCTATTTCCTCTTCCTAGAGTAATCTACTTGACTAACTTTCTTACCTCTTTTAAGTCTCCTCCCCTCAAAGGCCGTTTTTTTCAATAAAGCCTACTATAATCTCCTTATTTAATACTCAAATTGTCCTCTATGCACTAGCACTCCTGATCTTCTCCTGAGCCTGATGAGTCTTTTAAAAAACATTTTATCTTCTTCTAATATATTGTATGTTTTATTTATTTACTTGATTATTTGTCTGACTCCCCCAGCTAGAAAGATGAGCCCAGGATATTTGGATGTCTTGTTCATTTATGTATTTTAAGTCCTGAAAACATTTCCTACTGCATAGGTACTTAATAAATTATTTGTTAAATAAATGAATGCTTGTTCATAGATTATGATCAGTCTTTATATTCCAAATAGATGGAAAATATATCACTATTAACCCTTTCAATATATCAAGCCTCTCATTATATCTTCTGGTTTTCAAATGTAGTTGTGGTATATTATTGTCACGACTCCTTCCTTCAATAATAACAGGATTGTTTCCAGGTTTATAGCATGTGTCCTGCTATATTTCTGAAGCAATAAATACATCCATGCTTCACTGAAAATTCTGTAAAAGAATACTAAAATCACTTAAAATAAAGGGCTGGGGATATAGGTAGGAGTAGGGCACTTACCGAGGCATGAGGCCTTGGGTTCAACTTCTAGCACTGCAAAAATAGATAAATAAGAAAAGTAAGAATGATACTTCTTAGGAATGCATACATATGTAATAGAATTATATATAACAAAAGAAAGCAAGAAGTGAATAAAATTGGGGTTCAAGGTAGTCGATGTTTCTTCAATTGGAAGAAGTCAGGTAGCTGAAATAAGGGGTCACAGATAATGGATATATAGGTAGTTTTCTTTTAATAAATATTTTGTTTCTTTTTGGGGTGCTGGGGATTGAACCCAGTCCCTTGTGCATGCTAGGTAAGCACTCTATCACTGAGCCACACCTCAGTTGTACATGCAGTTTTTAAGGTCTAATCTTTTGTATGGCAGGTGAATGCTAATTTAACTATTAAAAATAACTCTAAGTTACCAAAGTTATAATCAAAAGTATGTCATTTAAATACCAGTGATATGAGTGCATTTCAAATAACATCAAGGATTATAATTAATCTAATTGACACCCAAAAGAATTGCAGAAAGAGGAAAATGGATGTCAGTTCCAGCTTGTATTTTTTAGAATAAACTTTGTGAAGTTGGTATGCTGTGTGTTAGATTATTTATTTTCCTTGTGATGGGAAAATGTTAGTAATGGCCTTGACTTAAAATCTAACTTCCTATGCCACTTATGAAGAAATTTAAAAAAAAGAGATAGAGGTTTGGATCAAGGGGGGATTCAGGCTGGGTATGTTGGTGCATACCTGTAATCCTAGCAACTTGGGAGGCTAAGGCAGGAGGATTGCAAGTTGGAGGCTGGCTTTTGGCAATTTAGTGAGACCCTGTCTCAAAATAAAAAATAAATGGCTGAGAATGTAGTTCCAAGGGTGTGGTAGAATACCCCTGGGTTCAATCCCCAATATCCCAAACTGAAAACAAACAAAAATATGAACAAAAACCTAACCAAACCAACTAACCAACCAACTAACCAACCAACCAATCAAAGAACAACAACAACAAAATCCCACACAAGAGGGAACTTAGTCACCAGGTCTGCTTAATAATTTCTACCTGAATCAACGTTTGTATTTTAAGTTTATTCTAAAAGTATACAGAGGAAGTGAGGAGGAGAAGGTATAAATTTAACAAAATGGGCTACAAGTAGATAACTGTTGAAGCTGGGTGAATATGTGCATGGGGGTCTACTATGCTATTCCACTTTTATTTACATTTTCCATAAAATATTTCATTCATATTATCCCCAATTTAAATTAAGAGTTGAATGCTTTGTGCAACATATTTAAGAATTATTCAAAACAGTGCAAAGCTCTAATTGTACAGTTGTCTGAGCAAACTGCAGGATTTTCCTGCTTTTACCCCTATATGTTGGGAAACCTCCAAACATCAAGTCAAATAAATTAAAGGAAAGAAATGGAAGAGAGATCATAAAAGGGAATACAAAAGGCAAAGAAATCTTTTTATATCTTCAAGCCTTAAGACTTGTTTTCATCCCAAGGAGGAGGAGATTCTTCCTTCCCTTGAGTAAACTGCACTGGAAAGAGTTTCCTTTGAGAGATTTGGGAACTCACAAGGCTACAAACTCTTCTTTGATTTTTTTTTTAAATATCTATGCATGGAAGAATTGTTTTTCTCTGGACTTAAGCAAACATAAGAGAAAGAATTAGGAGATTTCCAACAGTAGCTTGTGTAGCATCTTATCTAGTCAGTGTTCAATTCCTTGAGGTGTCCGTCTACTCAGAAGTCTTTGTTGTGGCCTTGTAATCAGAATACAAGTGATTTTTTTGTAACACTGAAGATGTGATAGAAAAATACTAAGGTAATTTCAGGTGACTAAGGAAATCAGAATTTTAAGGAGATTAGAATTTGTGGTTAAAATCCTAGGGTTATCAAAGAGACATGATATTAAAAGTGTACATTAGAACCTGGTAAAAGGTATAGGAAAACTCTAATCTTTTTTTATAAGTCTAAAATTATTCCAAAAGGAAGAGATATATAGGAAAACTCTAATTTTTTTTATAAGACTAAAATTATTCCAAAAGGAAGAGATTATTGAAAAGTTCAGGCTTCAGGTTTAGTTCTGATGCTTGGGACTTTCTGAATTTGCGATACCTCATCTGTAAAATGGGATAATGATAAAACTTATTTCCCTGTGTGATTGTTGTAAGGAACAATGGTGGTTAGGTAAAGGAATGCCTTCTGTAAACACTGAAGCACCAAGCCAATGCTGGTCACTATTCTAAGGCAGAGTCAGAAGGAACCAGTAGGGTGGAAAGGAGTTTATAATGTAGGCATGGGTCTCAGGGAACACCAAAGACCCATCTATTATAAAACATGAGCAGAGTTCTGTTATTTTTAGGAATTAAACACAAATACCAGATCTTTTATGTGTGCTGATGTAAGCAATGCCATTTATTATATTAGCAGCCATCTAAAAGATAATTTTAAAAAGGGACAAAGTAGTAAGAACAGGAAAATGGCAAATGAACAAAATGGAAAGCAGCAGCTTCAAAAACCCAAACATTCCTCTTGGGAAGTGACTGGGTCATTGGTTAGTATTTGTTCCAAACATATTTAGTGGAGACAGGAAGGAAAGCAGCATTTTCTCATCTTCCTCACAAAACTTGGCCAGTGCTCCAGAAAACATGCTAAAGCAGGGCTAGACAGGATCAGCCCCTACATGGATCTTCTGATGGCGGATAAGATTGCAGTGGCAGTTAAAGCTTTTTCCACCTTTTAAGCACTGGTGAGGTCACTCCCCTGTGTGGCTTCTCTGATGCTCAATAAGAAATGAACGAGAACTGCAGCTCTTATTGCACTGGCTGCACTGATAGGGCTTTTTGCCCTTGTGGATTCTCTGATGCTGGATAAGACCCGCACTCTTGCTGAAAGCCTTCGCACATTCTTTGCAGTGGTACTGCTTCTATATATTATGGATTCCTTGGTGATTAAAAAGGCTAGAACTTCTACTGAAGGACTTCCCACACTCATTACATTCATAGGGTCTTTCACCAGTGTGAGTTCTTTGATGTCGAATGAGACCTGAACTCTGAGCAAAGTTCTTCCCACAAACATCACATTTGTGTTGCCCATCTCCTAAGGAGTTTTTCCACTCCCTCTCTATCCCACCATTAGGTTCATTAACTTCTTCATTTCGAGGATCCTGGTGTGATATCTCCCTGGTCTGACCATGAAACATTTTCCCATGTGGTTCTACTACCTTAGGACAGTATTTCCCTAGCACCAACTCTCTGTCTTCAATCTTGGTCATTTCATCTGTTAAAAAAAAAATCTAGGTAAATAAATGTCACTTGATCCCAGCATCTATGATAGGATCACTATGTCCACAGACATACATCATACCATATGGAAGATTTTAAAAGCTGAAGAGCTCATGTGTTAATATCTTTTCATAGGTAATGAGGAAAGTTTGCCCTCATTATCAGAATGTGGCTCAGTCTGTCCCCATGTGGACTTAGCCTGGGGAAAATTTTTATGCTTCTTCATGGACGTGGGAAAAGATCAGGGTGGCTTTTCTGGAGTTTACTCTTAGGAGTCTTTTTCTCTTTTGAGATAGGAAGCTTCAAAGAGAGAGTTTCCAAGGAAAGTTACTTTATATATATTGATTCATTCATTTATGGAACAAATATCAAGCTTTACCATTCCAGGTATTTCATGTAGTACTTCATGACTTTCAAATCCACAGCCATCCAAGTTGTATTCCCATAAGGCCTCTCTGCTCTAGCACCTCTCCTTTTCTGGAAAGAGCAAGGCTTTCTCTCACTTCCTTCAAGTGTTTGTTCAATGCTTACCTTCTCAATGAGGCCTATCTTAATTCTTCTAATTAATAAAGCAATCTGTTTGCTTAATCTGTTGCTCTTTTTTTTTTTTAAATTTGAGATGGGGGTCTTGTTATGTTGCCTATCCTGGTCTCAAAATCCTAAATTAAAGTAACCCTCCTGCTTGAGTAGTAGCTGGGTCTACAGGTACATGCCATTGTGCTGAGTTCCACTGCACTCTTAACCTCCCTTATCTTGTTCTATTTTTTATTTATTCAACAACATTTATTACCTTCCTGCATACTAGATGGCCTTATTTTTATGTTGATCATTGTCTCTCCATTATTACAATATAATCTCCATGAGAGCAAGATATATTTTATTGCCTTAGAATAATGCCTGGCACATAGTAGTTCCTCAAAAATGTTTATTGAATGAATAAATGAAGAAAAGGGAAAGGATTGAAACCAGTTCTACTATTTTATGATCTCAATTGACTGGCCCAACGTTGACACCTAAGGCAAAGGCTGCACCACTATCCATATTGGGCAGTGTCCAGACAACCAAATTATGACCTCTCTGCTTAGAGAAGCATAAGGAAAAATGGTGAGAAACAGACCCAAATTGTCTAAATACTGGAAAGCAGCTGCTGTGTGATCTTGGACTTCCAACTTGCAACCCAGATGAAACCCAAAGAAAACAGCCTCTGACCTCCTCTTTTGACCAAAATATCTGATTCTTTCTTCCACATTTAACTGTATTGTTCTTCACATACCTGAGTAGGTACCTCTTAGGACTCCTCTGTTGTTAGGCCATGGCTCTTCTCCTCCTTTTGGCTGGGGAATTGCAACAGGTTTGGAAAACAGAAATTTGTCTGCATAGAACAGATGTGCCATAAGTAGGATTCGTACTTCCCTTTTGTTCAGACTTCACAATTACATCTGAAATGTTCAAGGAACTAGGGAGAATATAAAAACCAGAATACATTCCACATTTTAATAATTACTATTCATACGACCTTCATGGCTTATTAAACACTTTCATATGTATTATCAAATTGACTCAACACAACCCCCCTTGATGTTATTATCCTGCCTCTTTATTTTTATTCTTTTTTTGGTACCAAGGATTGGATCCAGGGGCACTTAACCATGAAGCCACATCCCCAGCCATTTTTATTTTTTGTTTCCAGACAGGGTCTTGCTAAGTTGCTGAGGCTAGCTTTGAACTTGCAATCCTCCTGCCTCAAGCTGCTGAGCTGCTCTATTCCACCTCTTTAAAAAATTGGTGGTAAGGGGCTGGGGATATAGCTCAGTTGGTAGAGTGCTTACCTCGCATGTACAAGGCCCTGGGTTTAATTCTTAGCACCCCCCCAAAAAAAAATTTATATATATATATATATATATATATATATATATATATATATATGTATGTATATGTATATATATATGAATGAATGAACGAACTGGGTCAGGGGAAGATAAGACAGATGTATAGCCAGACATATTATATATAGAAAAAAGTCTGGAAAATACACAGCAAATTGTCAAGACTAGTTACTCCTAAGTGCAAGGATTTAGAGAACTTTCATTTTTTCATTATATAAGCTTCTATGTTGAATTTTTTTGTAATCAGCATGAACTAAAAAGAAACTCAATAAGCTGAATTAAGACAACACTGGCATCAATATTCTATAGTGAGAACTCTAATTTATAGAAGCCCTTTGGATACTCTCCTATAGCCAGGGTCAATACTTAATAGTTCAACAAATGAATGCCTCAACAGATGTATGTGTAGGTGGATGAATTTACTGAGCTGTGCTTCCTAGAAAGGTTGGGAGAGGGTTCTCAGGAAGATTCTAGAGGCAGTTCAGGAGGTAGAAGAAAGGAAATGATGGCTAGAAAATTAAAAGTCCAAGTAAATAAAGAAAAGAAGGGGAAAGAAACAAAAGAACTGGCAGGAAAGATGCTCATAAAGTGCTGCAGTCCGGCTGCAGCAAAATAACTGGGGTGGGGGGGGGGTGACGAGCAACTTGTATAGATTGATACAGCAGGAGTGGAAGCTGTTTATTGCAGGACAGGAGCAGTATTTATACATTCCACACAGCTTATCTAATTAGCATAAACTAGATACATCAGTCAACCAATAAGGAATCTCCACACTTAATGGCTCGCTGGTGTTACTTCACAAACCACTCCCTCTGGCATTTTGCCAGGCACCATCCTGACTTGTTTACAGACTCTAACAATAAAGGAGGAAAATGAAACCAGAAGGAATTATAATCTGACAAGATTATGGGAGCCAAGGGAAGGTCTGCAGTGTACATGGAATTTACTCAACAAGTCTATTTTAATTTAAGCCAAGAGATGTGTTCAATATAATAGAAATATACCGTAACTATATGATTGCTAGGGTAGATGAAATATTGGCTAGACATAGGCAACGAAAATAGCTTTGATACAGATAGGAATAATGTGACCGTGAAAAGAACAAGAATCTTGCTACAGATTGATTGTTAGAAGGCTAATAAAAAGTCAGCAAGAGATTATTATGTTACGTGTAGGCAACTAGAGGAAAGCTGAAGCCAGTTCCTACAGGGAGAGCTAGAATGGGAAGGCAGCTGACTCAGCCCCAAGCGCCCAGTACTATGTTCACAAGGGTGGCCACTACCACCACTAAGATTATATACAAAGCTATGGCTCAGCAGTAGCACACTTGCCTGGCATATATGAGGCACTGGGTTCTATTCTCAGCACCGCATATAACTAAATAAAATAAAGGTCTATCAACAACCAAAAAATTAAAAAAAAAAGAAATCACAAAGTCTGATTCCACTGGATCTTCTCATACAGTCTTTTACCTACTAAGCATACTTCTCATATCGTTCTATGGCCAAGTGCCAAAGGTGCTACTAGTGGGTGAGTTCTTATAAGAACAGCTGCCATGTCTGTACCATAATGCATGCTAAGGGATTTTCACAGACTGTTTTTATTTGATGCTTACGATAATATTCTGAAGTACACAATTGTTATGGACTAACTTGTGTTCTCTCACAATTCATATGTTTAGGTTCTAACCCTCAATGTGATTATTTGGAGATATGGCCATTGAGGAGGTGACTAAGGTTAAATAAAGTTATAGGGTGGGGACTAATGTCCTCATGAGAAGAGACACCAGATCTCTCTCTCTCTCTTTCTCTGCATACATGTAGAGGAGAGGTTGTATAAGGATACAGGGTGATCGTTGTGTACAAGCCAGGAAGAGAGATGCCCCAAACCCAAACCTGATATATACTGATCTTAGACTTCCAACCTTCAGAATTGTGAGAAAATAAATTTCTGTTGTTTAAGTCACCAGTCTGTGACATTCTGTTATGAAAGCCTGAATAGACTAAAAAATACTATTATTACTTCCATTTTGTAGATAAGAGAGCTAAGGCCAAGTGGTTAACTAATCTGCCCAGTATAAGCAACTTCCACAGGGCAAAGCCATGATCTGAACCTATATCTGTAAAACCTTGAAACCTATCCTTTACAGCTATGCCCCACAGCAAATTCTGAAAGTTTCCTAATGAATCATGTGCCAGAATTCTAGAGAGCTTCAGGATGGTACTCAGGAGGAAGATGCTTGCATAAGATGAGTCAAAGATGAGCACACTAGGCATTCAGAAGCACTGAGCATTACTGTTATCTGGTAAAGACTCATTAGATGCCCCATTTCTCCAGCTGTGATTTATTGGTTTACTTGACCAGGTGAGATATGTTCAACAATAGATAAACCCTGTCTCTCACCTGTCTCTCCAATAGCATGGGACTCCTGAGTGGGGTCACATGTGATCTGGGACTCTGTAGGCTGGGACTGAAGGCTAGTAATGTCTGCTTTGCTACAGGCACTATTTCTTTAGAGAGGACTTTTACTTGGTGGTGAGTTACCATCTGGGGACAGAGAGACAAGATCTGATTTCTAAAGAAATGAACTGAAGAAACACTTTTAGAAAAAAAGGAAGCAGAAAGGAAGATCTTATTTTATTACCAAAGTCAAGGAACAGTCGACACAGGGACTCTTGCTGTTCCACAAAGACACTTTTCCTTCACAAAACTCTCTTCCTACCTCATGTTGTGGTTCATCAAGCTCTCTCTTCAGGTCCTCCAACAAAATCACAGCTTCTTCCCCACTCTCTGGACAATGTTCCCTTACCCAGCCCTGAAGCTCCTTGGGTAGGATGGAGAGGAACTTCTCCAGAACCATAGATCCAAAATCTGCTCCTTTGTGCTCACATGTGACCTCAACTACTGGTAGCAAAGTTCTTGAAGTCAGGTTAGAGCCTCCCTTGGTCCAGGGGTCTCCTGGTAGCAGAGCTGCCAAAAGTGTCTTCGGAAGATTTCCCTTGCCAGTGGGTTACTGCTTTTCAGTCTGGATTCCTGACTATGGAAGTGACTTTCTGTCTCAACTTTCATTGTCAGAAGCTCTTCCCATATCTCAGGAGCTTGAACATTCAGGGATAAAACCTCCTTTGACTCTGTGTTCATCTTGACCTTGAATGGTTCTTAAAATACCCTCCAGCTGGAGCTATGCTTCAAGACACACCCTGGGAGGCTCCCTCCTAAGCAGTAAAAATAATTGTTTATAGAGAAAATGGCAATAAATCATGATAGAAACTGATAATATAATCATCATAGAGCCTAAAGCTTTTTGCTGAAAAAGTAAAGTGAATGACCTGGTGAACAAAGAATAGAACTAGTAGAAAAATATAAAGTTATAATGGACAAAGAGCATTGACTTTCAAGGTACTCTGACCTAGGTCTGATTCTAGTTCTAATGTTTACCAATTGTGTGATCTTGTGCCAATTTGTTAAGTTCTTTCAATTTCTGTATATGAAAAAGAAATAGTAATAATATAGAGCTCATGGGGGCGGGGTTATAGTTCAGTGGTAGGGCATGTGCCAAGCACACATGAAGCCCTGATTTTTATTCTTCGCACTGGAGAAAAAAGAAAAAAAAAATCCCTTTACCAAACAGAGTTCATGGAGGAAATATTCCATGAATTAGGGACCACACAGATCACTCACCAATGTCTGGATAAAAAGTTTAAACTCACTGTATAAAAAAGCAAAGCAGAAAACAAATGAACGGAAATATTGTTCTCAAAATGAGCAAACCAACATTTATTTAAACTTTCTCTTGAGCTTTCTTAAATTATTCTTTAAAACAACCATTTAAAGTTGGTATTATATTCACCAGGTTTACAGAAAGAAAAGCTTAGATAGGTTCCAAGTCCTGTCAGCTTTCCATACTACCCTGCTGCTTCCTAAAAGTAACAGCCAACATGCACACAAATCTTCAGTTTGCTTTAGGACACAAACAGGACCCTATTTAATACAATTATCCTCTGAGGTTTTGTTATAATCATTTCACCAGACAAGAAATGTAGGGCAGGGAAAGTTCAGTAGGTTACCCAAGGCCAAATCTTTGGAGCACAGTCTTAGGAAGTATCCAAGCTAGTTTTCTGTAAACCCAGGCAGTGCCTGAGACCTAGGAGGTCTGTGTGTCTCCAAAATGTCAGGAAGTATCACGCAGCAGCTGGATTCCAGCCAGGAAGACTCTTTGACAAACATCTAGGGAATCTGAATCCCGGTGGGGAGGTGGGAAAGAACCTTAGGGAACACTGTAATATGCACCTTTAATACACCCCTTTGATTTGTATGCACCATAAAGTTTGAGAATCAATGAACTAAGGGAAAGGGAAGGATCACCTTGTGCTCTTGAAAATCAGCTCATTCAATGCCTTTTAATCAGCTTTTAAGAACCAAAAGGTCAGAGGGTAGCCATACCGACTTTCCTGAAAAAGGCTGCAAAATCGTTTATTTTTCCTAAGTTGTCCCTTAGTTTCCTCTCCCCGGAGGATAATTCCTGACTTGCCGGCGTTCCCTGAGTCCTAATGTTGTGGTCGTTATTCACCCTGGAAACCCTTCAGCCTCTCAGTCCCCTCAGCCCCCTCCCGTGCAACGTAGCTAAATCCAGCCCAGAGGTGCACAGACCTGGGTTCCCTCGGAGTACTCCAACCTCACAGTCCACACCGCTTTCTCAGCCCCACCCTCCCCAACCCCAGTCCCAGGGGCCAACTCACCAGGCCCGAAACAAGCGCTGAAGGTACTGGGCTACTCCTCCGGCTTGACCTGGATCTTGGAAGAAATAATGGCTCCGCGGGGAAGATGCTGACCGGCCAGTCCCGGCGACCCACGGAGCTGAGGCACTTCTGGGAGGATCTAGGATTCCGAGTCTAGGTGTCCTACCTCCTACGCCCACCTCACCTTGGAATCGATTTCTACTAGCTCTTTTTCCCCCCTTTTAATTTTTATTTGTTCTTTTAAGTTGTACATGACAGTAGAATGCATTTTGACATGTCATACAGACCCATTTTTGTGGTTGTACACGATGTGGAGTTTCACTGATGGTGTATCCATATATGAACAAGGAATTGATGTCAGTTTGATTCTACTGTCTTTCCCATTCCTTTTCCCTTTCCCCCACTCTCCTCTGACATCCAGTTCTCTTTAAGCACTGAATCACATAATCAGAATTTCATGCGTGTGTGCGTTGCACTCAGGTTTTTATTTTATTTTTTAAAATTATTTTTTAGTTGTAGATGAATGTCGCGACCCCTTGCCCGCAAGGAAGACGCAACTCGGGAATCTTCTTTCAACAGTTTATTCAGGCCCTTGATATTTCTTCTTCTCTCTCTCTGATGCCCCTCCCAGCCTTAATAAAGCATCCCAAGCCCCAATGCAAAGCTGCCGCGTGGAGCTTTCTCACAGGGTGGTGAAAAATCATGTGCCAACTTTCCCAGATAAGGAGTTGTTTGTCACAGACCACAGCGGAGCCAGCGTCATCTTGTAATGGCGACCATAGTCTGCAGAAACGGCAGAAGCGGCTCACCACAGTTCCCCCTTTTCTGTTTTCTTAAAACAATACAGGCGAGAGTAGAGGTCCTATCCCACTGTGCAGAAGTGGCTGCATAGTATGACTTAGTCCTAAGGAGGGCCCTTCCCCAGATCTGAAGCCATATCAGCCGACGCCTTTTTTCGTGGGGCGGGGCGTGAACGCGTCTAACCCGCATGCAATAGGACATGCTCTCCTTGAGGTCCTCGTCAAGGATCACTCAAGTGCAGTGCCTTGCCTCGCATCCTGTATCGTGACGATGGTGGACGAAGGGGGATAGCTGAGGCTGAACTGTGGCTGTTTATAATGACAAACAAGTTGACAGCACCCTGAAAGAAAGGCACGGACTTCAAGGCGATAGAAAAGCACTAGTGTGGAAACCCATCTGCGTGCAATGGCAGTAAGACCGGCAGAGTGCAAGGGCTTTCCAACACTAAGAGAATAACAAGGAAAGTCATGTCGATCCCAGTGCAATGTTATAATAACTTGGGGTGTAACGACCATGACAAAGGTTTACTGCTTAAGATGCGCAAGCCAGACTTGAGGCGAGTTGCCATTTTCTAAAGCTGCAAGAGCTTGTATGATCATAGCCTTTTCTTGTGCATGGCGAGTTTTAAGGCGACAGAGAAGCCACAAACAAAGTACAACACCGAAGCAACACATTGCACCAAAAATGCCTACTCCCACCCACTCTTTGAAGAAGGAAAAAGCAGAAGATATCCAATCGGTGAATTGACCCAAAGTCACTGGTTCAACACGGGTACTATTCAAAACAGCAATCTGAGTTAGTTGAGACTGGATCAAGTTTTCTGCTTCCATGGACCAGGTTCCGGATAGATACTCTCCAATGATGCGGGAGGCATTTCTGGAATCATAAAATCTGACAGAGGTTATACATAAATGTGCACGTTGATCAACACAACCCAAATGTACTAGGTCAGACAATTCCTCAACTTAAGCTTGAAGCAGATCTATCCTTTGATTAGCAGCCAGAATCCCAGATAAAATATGTTGATTAATTCTACTTTGAGATTCAAGTATGGTGGATGTTTGTTGAATAACCTGATTAATAGTGGCAGCAGTTTGTACCTGGCTGGCCATGGCTACTCCAGCTATAACTGCTGCAGCAGCAGATACCGCCACAGCTGTCACTATGGCTGCCGTAATTCCAAAATCTCTACGGGCTCTAATCAGTTCAACAATAGGAAATGACTCTGAATCTGTAGTAACCGGAATCGGGACAAAGGTTGGAATTTTCATAACCACTGCCGTAGTCCAGGAGCCATTCCAACACTCAGACAAGTAGCAAGTAACATTAGAACAATTAAGCATCCCCTGTAATGTAACATTAGCCAAAAGAAACAGGAACGGAGATTGGAGACGGACTGCTGCGGAGGGTAATGTAGCATTAGATAATTGTGAATTATTTGCAGAAATTTTAAGCCTCCTATCTCGCTCCGAGTCTTGGGTACTGCCAGAAACATTAAACAGCCAACTTTGGACTCCTAATATTTCCCTGGGGAAACACAAGTGCAGACTAGACTAGCCCAATCTGAGGGAGTCATGTAAAATCTAGTAAGTCCCTCCACCTGAGTGAGAGTGAAAGCGGCATCTATGCCATAAGTGCGGACAGATTCTGCCAAGGTTTTAATTATCTTAAAGTCTAAAGGCTCATGATATCTTCCCCTGTTATTGTCCTGAAATACAGGGTATGCAAGTCCCATATCTGTATTAACTGTCCTCCAAACTTGTGCATGAAAAGATCTCCCAGAACCTTGGCTCCCCCCACATACGGAGGTGGGGCAATCGGCACCATATCTTCTTCTAGATATTCTACCTCCTCATCCTCAGAGTTTTGTTGACCGATGTTAACTCCCTTCCCCTTATTACAGTAGGCCTGTGTGCCCTGTGTCTCCTTTTTCTTCTTTTTCATTTTTATCTTATGTAGTTGTTGTAACAATATATCAAGGTCCTCAGAACTCTCTGAGTCGCTTGTGTTCTCAGGCGTTTTTAATTCGGTCAAGTCTGGGTAGAGCCTTCTCCTATTTTTATCTTCAGGCTCTTTTGCCTTCTCACTACTGTTACTTTTAATACTCTCTGCCACTTCACTACATGATCCTTCAGATTTTTCCTCATGCAGCTGCTCAAGAATAGCTTGACCCTCACTTACAGCTTCCTGGCATTTACCATCTGTTATACATCCTCTAACTAACTTCCAAAGTGGTATAATGCCACCCTGCAAGGTACCTTGCTCATGAGCAAAATCTAGATCTTTCCCTAATTTGTCCCAGCTGGGAACCGTAAGACTCCCTGAAAAAGCAAACCAAGGAGCCGCTATATCAGCTTCTCTTAAAAACATCTGCAAAGTACTCTGCTTTATCTTAAGTCCTTTTGAATGTAACAACCCATCTAGGGCCAACAAAATTGGGCTTGAAGAAGCAACGCCCATAATGTTTTTAGAGCTATAAAGAAAGTGAAAGTACAAAAGTCCCCGCTCTCTTCCTTTTACAGGGGAGCGTTCCGTTCTATGAATTCCCCGCTCTCTTCCTTTTACAGGGGAGCATCCCTGTCGTCACAACAACAAAAGAAG